ATCTTGAAAAAAGCAAAGGAACTGGAAAAAGAGATACGAAAAGAATAATCATATGGGAGTTGAAATAACAATATAATGATTTACGAAAGTCTAAAATAAGAAAAATAATAAAAATCTGAAAACAAGGTAAAACTTATTAAATTATTTAAGGGGGAGGGTGTAGGTGGAGTGGTAAATACTAACCTCACTTTTCAATCTGTGCACTAAAAAATTTTAAAGTTTCACTTCCGAAGTCAAATCGATAAATGACTCGAGCAGAGGCACGTTGCCATTTGTATAACCCCCCATTGACCGAATATTAACAGAAATTTCCAAACTTCACCGATTCCATTAATTATTATAACAATTATTTAATAATTATTTAATAATTATTTATAATAATGAATATCCCCACGTTCTCATTTTTCACGTAATACTTCATTTTAGTCGTGCCCTTTTAAAGAGACTCCCATTTTTCGAAAACTGGGCGATAAATCAATTTTGATTACAGATTCGTGTTCATAAAAGTAATTCTCTACGATGAAAAATGATTCTCTACGAGCATCACTTTTTGGATATTACAGATTACAGATAAAATGAAAATTGGTTGAACAAATAAATGAAAATAATTGAATTGCCCACCATTGGTTAAGTTTTTCTGGTAAAATCACTTACGTCTTCGAATGAAATAAAGTACTCGAATCTGCAGAAACGTAGTCAAGAATGGGCAATGGCGCAGCACGTAAACAGACTCACCCCGGTGTAAAACCGTGGACGAGTAAGTGATCAAAGGGAGAAGGGTGAGGGCAAATCGAATCATTCAAACGAGTCCGTGGTCGATCGACGAAATGGAAATTCGATTCCTTCGCTGTGTGGTCAAGGAAATACCGTGTGAGAGGTAAAGCTCCGAGTGAAGCAAATTGATTTTCGTGTTCTTCTCTCACCCCTGAAGACGTGGAACAACCCTGTCCGCGAAAGCTGAACCGGGACGCGGAGAGGGACGGGGGAATAGGGAGGAAGCTAGTTACCCGAGCTCATCGTTATTCTAAAAAAGCCTCCACGTTCTAAGATAAATCGCATAATTTATGAAAGCAGCTTCCGTATAATCCTCTGCAGTGTCTGCAGTCGTGATTTGCTTCTGTTTCCATCGGAAACCCATTCCACTGGCGGAGTTTTCCGCGTGGAAATAATTGTGCCGCTCGCAAATCAAGCCTGCCCTCCTTTCGCTAGGGAGAAACGACGATAGGGACAAAGGGATTGGCTTGTTTCTTCGACGTGTTAGCAGCCCGTTTGTTACCTCGATCGACGAAAGAATTTTTAGATCCCGTGATTGCTGGTCCTTCCATGCTAATTTTCCTGGCACAGAGAATTCATTTCTTTTTGAGTAAAATTGTTGGAAATAATGTTTTGATATTGAAAACTTGTTTGCTAATAAAATGGTGGATCGTGTTATTTTTCTTTGCATCGTATTACCTGAGAATAACGTGTTAGGTTATTTTCAGATTTTTAATTACAATTATTTTGAGTCATTATTTGAAATAATTATCTGTATAAATTTGGAATAATTTTTATTTTAAGTTTAATTATTTTTCCGTGGATTACTGTGGAAAATTTATTTTTTAATAAAATTGTGGATCGTGTTATTCCATTTTGAATTATGTTACCTGAGAATATGTTAGCCTATTTTCAGATTTTTAGTTGCAATTATTCTGAGTCATTAATTTGAGATAATTATTTGGAATAACTTTTTTTTGTGTTAAAAAATTATTTGTTCTAAATTATTATTTGGTATAACTGTTTTAGGTTATTTGAAACAAAGGAAATAATTTTTCTGTGAATTATTGGATGGAATAATTTCTTCCCTCACTTTTTATTTAAGTCGGTGGTTATTATAAGAAATAATTGCTAAAGCAGTTTCTGATTCTATTGCGTTAACTGCGAGGGGAATAAGCACTTGCACATTTCCTCATATATCGAACGCAGAGACGTGCATGCAAATTTATTATTCAAGAGTAATTGAAACGAGAACAATTCTGAAAGCAAACGCAGTAACATTGTAAAATAATCCGGCTTATTGCGACTCGAATGTATGCAAAATACGGTACTTAATACTCCAATTTATACGTCACTTTATATGAAAACGTTGACTTAAAAACTTATTTGCAAATAATTTGTTTAATCTCCTTATAAAATAGAATACACCGTTCGTAGCTTCTTTTCTAAATAAAAACAGCAAATCTGCATAAAAATCTCCAAAATTCCAAATAATTATTTCTCAAACCCGCAACTCCGAATAGAATAATAAAATTCGTCGAGTTTCGTTATCAGATATTTCTCAGGGCTATATTTTTACTATTTTCGAGGTTTCCGATATTTTCACCATTTTTAAGGACTCCGATATTTTTACCATTTCCGCATAGACAGAGAATTTTTAATACTTCCGGACGAGTAGTGACCAAACGAACTATTTTTCACCTTTTTCAGACGCAGATTTTCCTCGGATTTGTTTCAAAAATATAGAAGGTAAAGGAAGTAATTTTCACCACCCCTCCCAAAAAATACGAAAAATAAAAATGAAAACGAGTCAATTTGATCGGAAATTTCGAAAACTCGATTTCGAGAGTTCCTCTGGCGATTCCGTTCGCATAACGTAATACCTGTTTTTGTCGGGTATTGATTTTTATAGGATTTAAAAGGAAAAGGACAGCGCGTGGGAAAAGGGAAATAGTAATAGCAGGAGGAAAAAGAACGTTTTTGGTAAAGGTTTGAGTTACGAGTTCCATATTTTTCCGGCGAGCCGGAATCACGCAAGTTTTTCAGCCTCTCCAGCCGATTTTCCATTGAATTCGAGAGCTTTCTCGCATACTGATATCGATATTTCTCTTCCCTTTTTTTTATCATCCACGCATTGTGCCCGCGATCGAAGGAGGACAGTATCTAAAGTTTCGCCTGTGAGCGCCATTAAACTCTCCTGGATGGCAAAAGCATTTAGATAATGAGAATTCGGATGACAAAAGTTTCATTGTGCTTTTGACGAAAAAAAATGCACCGGAATATTTTTCTCCGATTCCTCTGAATTCACCTTTCTTCGTTAATTAATTATTACCTTCGCGGTGTACCTGTACAATTTATAATTTTTCCGTAATTTTAAATCTTTGTTGCGAAATCTTCCTATTTTCTTCATTTTTACCTTCCTCTTCTAATTATCCCGTTGCTACTACAATTTCGGTGTTTTAATTTTTCGTTCTAATTCCGTGGAATAATTTTTCCCTCGCGATTATGGGGGTTGGAGAAATTGAAGTTGTCGATATCAATCGTGGAAGCGATCGAATTTATCGGGAAACATTGTCACGTATTCGGACGGATATTTCAAAATTATTTTATCACGATCTTCCGTCATTTTCTGGTGCAATTTTCGCTGATTTACCGAATTTTCTTAGCTTCGTTCGAGGCCGGTAAATGGAAAAAATTCTTCGAAACTATAGATGTGCAGATAGGTCAGGTATACGTGGTATCGTGGGCAAAAAAATACCGCGAAATGTAAATTTATTCGATGAACAGAGTACTCCGCCTATTACCCAACGTCGTTCTGTGAGGATAAATTTTTGAAAAATTTGAAAGATTTATTTTCATACAGCAGAAAATGTAAAAAATTCATTTCCACGGAACAATCATGGATAATGAAGTATCCTGGCTACCGTGTAGGGTAGCTGGATGAAAACAGAAAGGGAAAAAGTTCGAATCGCGAGGGGTTTAAATTGTCGTGTTGTTTTCGAACGAAATCTATTATTTTGCTTTATTATTCCGTATGAAGTCGCGCAAACAGCTCTGTCCAGGCACGATCTCATTCCCGATGCATTCGATTGCGATTTCGTTGACGATCGCGTGACACTTTCTGCATCGTCCATTCGAGAAACCGCCTCTCGAATCGTCGAAGAAGAATCGACCGGCTGCGGTCACGAGTTAATCGCCGAATAACAATCGCCGATTGACTTCCGGTTTCATTGATTGCTCCCGTACGAAAACGATATCGCGCCATTTCAAACGAAAACACCGAAGGGTTGAAACGAAAAGAATGGGAATAAAAGATACAACGTCGTTTAAATTTCGGTGGCCCTGCAAAATTTTTCCTAGCTATTTTGGATTCTCTTTTAGCACGTAGAATCGTGAAAAATATGAGGTAGCTTCAATTTTGGTGAAATACAAGAGTAATATTTTATGATAATTTTTATCATTAAATTTTCAATTTTATTTTTTCACCCGGGATTCTGAAGGATATACAGTATATTTCATTTTATAAATTCCTTTATCTTTTCTATATGGAATTTTTAAAAATGTAAGATATTTTTAATATTGCGAAAATGTACGTGTAATATTTTATAATAATTCCTAGCACTACATTTCTAATTTTTCTTTTAATAGATAGGATTTTAAAAATTCTTATTATATACATCGAGGAATTAAATTTTCAATTTTTTTTTGTATATAGAATTTTTAGAATGTAAGATATTTCTAATATTATGCAAATGCACGTGTTATATTTTATAATAATTCTTATCACTAAATTTCTAATTTTTCTTATGACAGATAGGATTTTAAAGAATATTATTATAAAAATCGAGGAATTTATTTCTGAGAATATTGTTATAATTTGCAAAATTTTGTAAAAATAAGATTGTAATATTCTATGAAAATTGAAAATATGACATTTTTATTCTTATGATAATTCCATTGAAATATTCCTATTGTAATATTTTTTCCTATTAATCTTCGATTTCTTTTCCTGCAACACTCAAAATTCCAAACAAAGTGAAACAATTAATTTAATTTTATAAAATATCACTGTGGAATTTCTATAACATTTCTTCCTTCTTTTCATCTTTGATTTTCCTTCCTTCACATGAAATTCCACAAAACAAATTTTCACATTCTTGCCATTAAATTCCCCTTCCAAGAAATAGAAAACCCTAAGAAACAGATTCTCTCATGCTCACCTAACTTCGCCGAGCAAATAAAAGCTCAAATAACTCGAAACTCGGTGAAACGAGTTGAATTCGACTGAATAGCATATAACTCATCTCTACTATCCTCGTGCCACGCAAATTAATCACACCGGCGATCTCGAAGCCGTAGAGCAAACAACGTGTTCGCGAAATCATTGGCTCGCGAGACGTCTCGGGTGAAATATCGGGCGTTTACGTTTTCCACGATCCTTTTTCGCGAGGAATCGATTAACCCCCGGGCAAGTCTGGATGATAACGTTTCCGTCGATCGGATTCTCTCCGTGGAAAAATAGCGTGTTAGCTTCGTGACACCGTTCGGAACGTGTCGGCATTAAGGGAATAGCGTGTATCCGCTCGGGAGATTTGGACGACGAGGTCGATCAGGATCAATCGCGATGTAATTGGATCGTATAAACGGATAAACAATATCGGCAACGAGCCGATATATCGGCTTCGAATCTCGCGACACAGACTTTCTGATTCACTGACCCCGCGTGCGCGAGTCTTGGTGCAAACGTTCGGTCTATGGGGGTGGGCAGGGTGAATGGCTGTTGGTTTGGAATGGGTTTCGATGGGTTATCGATAGGAAACGTATAGGTCGGGAATGGCGGTTCGTTCGCGATGATTTCAACGTGTGTTGCAATGGACGTTCGTTGGAATGAAAGGTGGAGATTTAATCGGGAAGCGCGATTAGGGTATTTTTTCAATGGCGAGATCGGTTGTCGGGTTATTCACTTTGGTAATTTTCGATTGGTGGTAGTATGTTGCGCTTTTGTTTCTTTCGGGCTGACAATTTTCCAGTTTCTTTGTTCGAATTTTGAAGCGGAAGTGCAGGTATTTTGGTAGAATTTACCCTTTGAGCTGCATACCGTATTTTATCGGGGGTGATTCGACGTCGATTGTATTCGCAGGTATGCCTGGCTTGATTTATTCTGAATATTTCTATTGGTGTAATAGGTAGAGGATATTTGTTTAAATAGGCTTCTATCAGTTAACTCTCTTTTGAATTATATTTAAAATGGAATTTATAAATAACAGAGAGTTATTGGAAAGAAGATTGAAAAAGAATTGGAAGTTTAAAAGGAAGATAACTAGAATCATAATATGTACCTAAATATATTATACATAAATGATAGATAATAATTAAAAATAGATATTTAATTTAATACTAATCCTGGGAAAGATGGCATACTTTCATTGACTATTCTAGTCTTAAAATATTAGGTTGATAGAAAAATAATTTCGTTTTGCTTCTTTTCCATCTCTAATTAAATAACCTAAATAAAACGTAAATCAACACTGCACGCAAAATATTTATTATCAAGATATAGAGTAGATATATAACATAACCACATTTACAATTTATTCCAATATCAAGCTGCAAAAATCGAAAATACAAAAAACGAAATTATTTTTCTATCAACCTAATAAAAATAATTTTAAATTATAAAATATTCTATGCTCGAACCCATTCACCAGAATTTAAACATAAAATTTAAACATTTAAACATAAAACCAAAATTTAACATAAAATTCTCAAATATTAATATTCAAAATCAGCACTTGCTAAAAATTTTAATAATCGCGATAATTTTCAATCGTGAAATACACATCATGATCGATTGAAATCATTGACTAAAATCTCCGTGAAAATTACAAACTCGAATCAGCAAAGAATTTTACAAAAACTATAGTCACCGGTTGCTGAAAATCGTGATACCAAGGTATAATAATCTCGAAATTTAAAAATCCACCATGATCGATGGTACCCTTTCGCCAACCCTTCCATAAAATTTGCAAACTCGATTAACGAAAGAATTAATAGAAAATACAGAATAAAAATAACTTGCTGTTGCCAGAAGCGAGCAACGATCATCGTGGCAGTGATCGCGCCAGCGATCTCCCTGATCCCAGCAGAGCCATTCGTCATCGTTGGTCGAATTAAGATAGCCTGATCAGGAAACGCGATCATCTCCATTCAGACACACAGTTTTCGCGGCAATCCCGTGCCGACGATATCGTGAAACAATAAAAATCTGTCGTGTCACGCGAGGACTATGAGATGATCGACGGCCACCAGTGAGGGAGAAACGAGCTTTTTGCAACGGCCGGATGTTATAAGGCTATCTCTGGATCAAAATGGGAAAGGTATTGCCTGAACGATGTCACTGTGAACGACAGTCGCATGGTGGACGTTGAATACCGATGTTTCGGCGCACGATTGCCACGCGCATGCAGCTTCGGATTGATTTCTCGACCGTGGATGAATCTTTCCGAAATATCCGCGGCACGCGGTTCATTCTACGCGAAAAATTGCGTCATAAAGACCCGATCGAGTTTTTTCCTGGGGGATTCGGTTTTCGAGGAAATTAAATCTGAAAATTCGCGCGGCGGCGCTCGTTGATGTTCAAATACTTTGTGCCGTTAATATCGCGGATTTTAAATATCAAAGAAAATTATATCGTCGTTTGAAGTCGTTTGAACCTTTTAATTCTTCGGTATACGTCAGAATAACGTGATAGATGTTTTATAATATCCGATTTAATTTATTAAACTGAGAAAATCGAATCGCATGCACCCCCACAGAAGTTCAAAGCGGATTTCCGTCACGGTGAAGCGTCGTACAATAAATTTTATTTCGCGTATTTTGTTTATCTTTTCCCGCGCAATCTTGCGCTGGTATTCCTTTTTGTATTTAAAAAATAATTCGTTTCAAAAATTAATCTCATGAGACTCTTTTACTAAGGAGCCAGAAAATTGGAATTTTGTCATTCTATTGTAACTAAAAAATTAGTTTCGCTAATGCTGGATGTATTTTATTGTTGCTTCCTTACATAGAAAATGCAATTTATTTAATTCTATATTAATCTCTAATTCTATTGTCATTAATGGAAAATTCAATTTATTTATTTCTATATTAATCTTCACTTCTATTGTAATTAAGAGAAAATTCAATTTATTTATTTCTATACTAATCTTCAATTACAATAGAATTGAAGATTAATATAGAAATAAATAAATTAAATTTTCTATACAAGAAAGCAACAATAAAATTCAATTTATTTATTTCTATACTAATCTCCAATTACAATAGAAATAAATAGATTGAATTTTCTATACAAGGAAACAACATTAAAATTCAATAAAAGCAACAAGAAAATTCAATTTATTTATTTCTATACTATTCTTCAATTATAATATAATTGTAATATTTATATAATTATTATAATGGAATTATTATAATAGAATTGAAGATTATTGATATTATAATAATTTATAATTATTACTATAGAATTAAAGATTAGTATGGAAAGAAATAAATTGAATTTCCTATACAAGGAAGCAATAATAAAATTTAGCCAATATTAACAAAACTAATTTTTTAATTGCTTTCGTTAACTCTGGTTCGCATTTTCTCCCTTATTTTTAAACATTCCGAATTATTAAAATTATCTGTTATAATCTTCATCAGCTATTTCCAAAATTTCAATTATTTTATTTAAATAAAACTACGTTGCATTAAAATTCGACTAACCCCTCAATTTCCCTACTATAATCTTCATAAATCTATCGACTATTTCCAAAATTTCGATTATTCTATTTAAACCCAATAAATTATCCTTCACTCTACCTATAATACATACGTTGTATTAAAATTCTCCCTCTCAGCGCGACATTAAAATTGAACAATTAACGAAAATTGGCCGCGCGGTACTTACTTAGTACGATCTTCGACCACGGTGTCCTTAAATTCCTCTCTCGTCTGGGAATCGTGGAAAAATCCACGCGAAGCGAAATCTTCGATGAAATAACGTTTGCGTGCCGGTACCTATCGGGTTCATTAATTTCATTCTTGCTGGTGGCGCGCACCCCGCTGCCAATTATCGGCGGAAAATCAGCGTCGAAAGGTGGAACGATAGCACAGGTCGAAAGTGACACTGCCGGCAGCGACGCGGCTGGAATTTCAGCTTTAACGTTATACGATCTCATTAAACCGATCAACCCCTCTGCGCGCCGCTTCCGTCGCTCCGCGCACGCAATTTGCCTTACAAATATTATCTCTATAAACGATTAACGGATTACCGAGTTCTCCACTGTACGCCCGTGTATCCTCCTGCACGAGCCTTCGAATAATTCCGCTCAATCGCCGCGATCTGTTCCCGTAACCCCAGCGTTTCGTGACGTTAACTGCTCCTGCCAGCGACATTTTTGTTCCGCCATCTGCAAAGAGCATAAGAACAGGGATTTATTACGGTTTCTCGATTTGCTTTAGATAGGGTGGATACGTTTAATTGTTACAAATGGAATAATAAGTGTGGGGGTGGGGAGTGATTCGATAATCGAGGTTTGGAAAATAATCGCTGCCATCTTTTGTATATGCTAGCACCATATCTCGCGATATTAATTTCTTGCGAGTAAAATCATTTATCTTTTTGCTGTTTATTCTTTTATTATTTTGTATTCTGTATTTTCCATTTCTCTGTGAAAATGGAGTTGTAGTTGATTGCATTCTAAAAGGGGTTGGAAGCTTGCAATTTATGGTAATGAGGATTCTTAATAAATTGATACGTTGCCATAATAGTAATAATATAAGATAATTTATAAGTGGAATAAAATATGGATAAGTAAATAAATCGAGGTTTAAAAAATAATTGAAATTTCGCGATGTTACCCCCTCGTGAATGAAATGTATTAATGAGTAATAATAATGTACTGTGGAATAATTTATAATAGCAGTGGAATTATGATTTGGAAAATAAATTCGCTCAATCAAACGATTTTTTCCGTTAATTTAATTTGTTCGCCCGTATATAGGGAAAAGATGTTATAATTAGTTTCAATTACTCGTTTTGATCCGGAAAAGGGGTGCAAACTTTTAATTGCTACAAACTGACGGCTCGATATCAGTGGAATAATTTAAAACTGTAATAAAATACGGCGATAAAGTATCGGTAAATAAATAAACAAATCGAGGTTTAATAAACATAGCCAAATTGCGGGTGTATCTCGAACGTCGTTGTCTTTGAGGACAATTTACGGGAATTCGTTATTCTATCGTGTTAGATGGGTGTATCTCGAACGTCGTTGTCTTTGAGGACAATTTACGGGAATTCGTTATTCTATCGTGTTTGTCTATACAAACATACACAGTGGTCGGTTCGTTAAGGATGTTGCGGAGAATTTGCTCGTTACTATTTCTGTTTATTTTCCGGCTGTTAGTTAATTCATAATATAACGCTGTAAATACCTATATTTGCAGAAAGTTGCAAATATTATGTTTGCAGTCTTATGACGAAGCTCCTGTGTAGCGTCGTAATTAATGTACATGGTGTACCTGACTTAATTATTACATAGAACGAAGCCTGGTCCGTTATTATTTCTAAAGCAACATTCGTATAAAAATTATTTCATAATTCTTTTTTACTATTATTTATAAAAAGAATACTTGGAACACCCGGTATGTAATAATTACTCCGGGGTTGTTATTTTTATTTCGTTTGCTGGAATTATTACGTTTAAATAATTGTTTTTGCGAAAAATTCGATAACGTTATATTTCATAATTACGATTAATAGTAGAGTGGGTATTTATTTTTACAAAATTGTTATCTCGGTAATATAATTATAATGTACAGCTATTTTTGTCATTACGCGTGATTATATTAATTACTGTATAAATAAACACAAAAGTGAGGCATTGAATTTTAATGCAGCGCGATAAATACCTTCGCAAAATGATGCAAATGAATTTGCAGTTACTCAGCGAAACTCGGCAATCGTATTATAATTATAATAAAGTCGTTAATCATAATATAATACATCAAATATGTTTGCAATTCTCCAGGGAGTCATCACAATCGTGCTACCCTTGTTTTCAGCTAATTACTTTCATTTAACCCCACTGCTGCTAGCAACCTTTAATTAATCCTCTACAACGACGAGTGATTTAAACAACTTTTTTAATTCCATACCACCGTACTATTATACTTCGCTATTAAATTTTTTATTTTATTTTACTTAGATTTTCTAGAATCGAAGAAACTGTGGCTATCTAAAATTTTTAACGTTACCAATAAGAAAGATAGAGGGTTAGTTAGTCTATTTAATGTAAACATTTATATTCATAATTATTCCTAGCATGAAAATCCTTTTAATACAACAGCATGCGTGCAACTAATTTATGAGAAACGAGATTAGAATTTATTAAATATTCCACCAACTTCTTTCATCAATAGGGAATGTTCGCCAGTCGAAAGCAACAAGTATGCCAGCTGTTCTTTGTTCAAGTCATCCTAATCGTGCTAATGGGCGCGTTGATGACGTTCGAGCCAGAGGAAAACGCTAATTTGCTAAAGGATTATACAGGTTGGTAAATGTTCAGTAAATGCATATATAATTTTCCAGTTGACTGTTAAAAAATAATAAACATTTTATAACAGTCAAAATGTTTGATACACAGTGTACCGTCAAACATTTCGAAATTTTTGATACACAGTATACTAAAAAGTGCTTCACAATTTTTAATACACGGCGTATCATAAAACGCACCAAAGTCTTTGAAACACAATATACGCATTAAACGCTTCAAAATTTTTCATACACAGTATACCATAAAGCGTTGCAAAATTCCTGGTACACGGTATACTAAAAAATGCTCCAAAATTTTGAATACACAATGTATCAAAAAACGTTTCAAAATACTTGATACACGATATACCATTAAACGCTTCAAAATTTTTAATACGCAGTGTATCAAAAAACGCTTCAAAATTTTTAATACACAGTATACCATATTGCAAAATTTTTAATACACAGCGTACCATCAAACGCATCAAAATTTTGGATACACAATATACCATTAAAACTCCACAAAATTTCTGGTACACAGTAAACATTAAAAGTACTAAAAAATATAAAAAAATTTGTAATACACTGTGTATCAAAAAACGCTTTGAAATATTTGGTGCACAATATACTATTAAACGCTTCAGAATTTTCGATACACGTCGTGCAACAGTCCATAAAACGCTGCACCCTTACCCCAGCGTAGAAAATGGCGCATAACTCGCCACAATAAAATGGCCGCGTAATTCCGAGCTAAAGGTGAAACGTTTATTCGCGCAAGAAACGAGTGCTAACGAGAAAAGAAAGATATCCACGACATGGACCAGAGGAATTCATAAAATTTCCTCAACGTCGGACACGCGTATAACTGAAGGAGTAATTAAACTTTCAGGTGACCACGGCCGGAAGCACGTCAAGAAGCCGGATACGGACCCGTTACGAGTTTATCCGAGTGAGTATCCGAACGAATTTACTTAATTCCATATTTATATTCGCCCCGTGAGAAACGAATCCCGCGGAGGTCTGTTTTTGCCTTAACGAGAACGAAGCGGTTGACTTTGAAGCCGAAGCTATACTCAGCCTCGCAATTATGGCTCCTCGAATAGCATTTGCGGACATCTTGGAAACAGATACCGGTGTCAGATTCGTCTAATAAAATCTCCTCCTCTGAGAACGCTGATTTCCGTCTTTCTATATTTTTCTTTTATTCTTTCATCGCATGGTATTCTCTCATATTTATATTACAGTATTCTTATTTCTCTTACGTTTAATTAATTTTTCTATTATCTCGATGTTATCTTTCGGTGTATCTATATAGCCTAGATTTTATTTTTACTTTATTCCTTTTATATCATCCATATTTCTATTCATTTGTATTATTTTTATATTATCCTCCAGTATACGAGGATATTTAATCCTCGTTTTATATGTTAATTTAAAATAGAGGAGACTGCTGAGTAATTATTTAAAAATGACGAAAACTGGCGGGCAATTAGCATTCCTTTCGGCCTATTTAAATTTCTTAGGAGAGACGAATTCGCAATTCCTCTAGGATCTCCTACACGCTTGCTTTATTTTCGAGCAGAGATCAAGAGGAATCAGAAATATCCCTCGAGATACTCCTTCTGTAAATACCTCGTGTTACGAAAATTGGCAATCTCTATAATTTCGCAAGTAACCATACACGAATACACGAATATGTTTGATTAAATAACAAAAACGAGAGATTTGTTTTAAAACTGAGATACAGCCCGTTTTATTTGAAAGAAAATGGCAAGCCGGATCTCCGAAGGATCTTTATCTGTGCACACAGACAAAGTTGCGAATTATCCAAATTGCATGAAGGCGCGTTGAACCGGGCTGCTGCACTCTCTACGTGTATAATAATTATTCGCTTGGAACGACGTAACTCGAGCAACTATTTCTCGCGATTCTGAAAAGCCTGACTAACACGTCGAAATTCGCGACGTTAACACTGCGCAAAATGGCCGTCCGCTTAATAATAAATCCACCCCCGGGCCGGACTCCTTCGCCGGGATCTATTAATTTAATTCACTCTTTGACTCTGGAGGAACGTTTATTCGAGGCCGGGTCGAATAATCCGCATGAATTCGTCCATTTACTTTGTCGCTCGGAGAATTTGAATAACGCCACGTCGATTCCAACGGCTAATGTACCCGCGCGAATAATTTCGTCGGGGGTATAAAGCGCGACGGACTTCCAGCTGAAGTCAGAGTCCGATGAGGCGAGATTGGAGTCGAAATTGAATCACAAAACCGTCTGCGTGATGAAGCTGTAGGATTCATTTAGCTTGACATCGAAGTCATTGAAATATCCATGAGTCAAGGTGTTAGAGACCTTCCCCGTTTCGTGGAGCTGACGGGTCTCGAAAAGATGTTCGATAATTTGTGAAATTATTTATCTTTTGCGACAATGCACTATCGTGGCGGATTGAAGAGATTAAGAAATTACGAATCGTTTGAAAATTTTAGATATATCCTCGTTCGGAAGGAATGACAGGAATTGAGGGAAGGGGAGAACGTGGTTGATGTAACTCGGATAATCTTGTATAATTTATCATTGGAAGAATCGTAAGGAGTAAAATTAAAATTTTAGAATTTTTTAACTTCCTAAAATCTCGGGTAATTCTATATAAAAGAATTTCAAGGATAAAATTAAAGATTAGACCTAACCTTCCTCCACTACGTCCACTATACTACTACCCCTAGAAAAAAGGGGTATTAACCCTTTGCACTCGGCGAATTTTTCGTTACAGGAAAATAGTAATTCGAAGACTTTCTGCCATAAGGTCGACGATATTTCTAAAACGGCAAATAAGAGATCATATGCAAATTAAGACGTAGAATTATTTTACTTCGATATTCCACGCATCGTTGGCTAATTGTAAATTTGATATATTAATTAACATCCGTCTTTAGAATCTGATTAAATGGTGACTGAGAGACTTTAGTTTCTCCTCGATGATAAATAAAGGTTCGAATTATTTCCATTCTTTCCTTTTCATTTCGTATCAAACCTGTCGTTTAATTACCTCAACATGTCGTTTCATATCCATATTATAGCACTCTATATTCAAAAGGTTACAGTAATTGTAAATAATTTTGTATTTGGCCGAAAACTTTTTCCCTGGCTAGTGCGATACAGCAAACTTGCCAATACCCGCTGAGAAATAACAGAGCAGGATAAAATAAACGGAAAAATAGAAACGCTACTACTTCCGTAATTCCTCTGCTTCGATAATTCAGAACAACGAGTAAACTCGGCGAAGAAAATGGAGAATGAAGAAAAGGAATAAAATAAGGGTTTAACAAGAGTGTCCGAATTCGCGTGCGGAAATAATGCAAGAGCAAACAACGGTCTTTCTCACGCGGCGAAATAATAGAATTCTCCGGAACGGGATCCTAGACGTCGTTTAGTTGGGGCTACGTCCCAAAACGTAAGCATGGCCGGAAGCTAACAACCGCTTGGGCATTATCCGGCGAAGAACGACCGCTGCTGGCGAACTTTCCAGGAATTGCTTTCGCGCGCCCGGAAATGCGTAAAACGCGAATTTAGGTGTTCACCGACGAAGATTCGGTGTTGGGTGCGAGCTGCGAACTGACCGAGTACTTGCTGGCCTCGCTTCCGGTTTCGAAAGCGACTAATGTCCGACCACTTGCATCCTTCGATGGAGGACAGCCAAGAACGCGGTTTAACTAGGGTTACGAGTAAAGATATTTTATTTTAACACTTCACCGACCGGTAACCTATTAATCGGCTTATTGTCGCCGACGCTTACCGACCTATATAGCCTATTAATCGCTTGTCATGGCGATGAACAGTCATTATCATTATATAAACAGTAATTTGTTATTTAATATTGAGGTACGTTGCTCAGTTGTATCAGTTGCGTTGCTTTGTAAGCTCCCCATTTTTATATGGGGGGCGCCAGGGAGAATCTGCAGCTGAGCGGCCAATCGGATGTGCTTATGCTGTTGAATCGCTAGCGGTCGGTAAAGTGTTAAGTAGACTTAGAATGGTTCTTAGAACTCGACGATTCTGTTTTTGACTGCCTAATCGTCTCATTTCCGGTTGAAAAATTATGGATGTTCGATTACTCGTGGTCTTTAGTAACAGAGATCCTCAAGTACAATTTTGGTGGGAATATATTCACCATTATGGTTTCACTTCCGGTTGGAGCATGATTAATGTTCGATTATTGGTGTCCTTCGATCCAAGAAATCTAAAAACGTGATCATCGATACTTGCAATGGAGATATCTCTTCCTAGCGAATAAAACGTTTCTCGGAAGTTGATAAATCTCTTCTGTGTATAGAGTGACTGCGTAAGTTGGTTCTTGGGAAGGATAACATCGGTATACTTGAAAATTAATACGAAGAAAATCTTGTTGAGAGAGATAGTACGGTTGTTCGAAGGAAATTGAATCATGGATCTTTTTCCAATGATCGATAAGTTTGAAGCACTTTAGTGGCTTCTGAAAAAGATACTGCAGTTACGATCGATGTTTCGAGCATTCAAGGACATCGCGGCGGTTCTCTTGAAAAACAGATTCTTATCTTTTGTCCTCTTATAATACTCATTCTTAGTCGCATGCGTTAAAAAGCGACAATGGAAGCTTACTACTCGTGCAAATATTTTTGGTAGTGAAAAGCAGTAAAGAATTTTCAGTAAAGAAGCAGATATCATCGACCTTGTTAAATTTCTCAAACTATTACTCAGAATATACCAATAATATATGATCAACTTTCCAAAAAACGGAAAATTAAAATTCATTTTTAGAGTGAAGAATTAAGCATTGGTCAAATATTCTGACTCTTATGACCGAATGCCCCCTATGTGGCGAGTATTCAATAGGGATATTGGTGACCTGTATGCATTTATAATATATGCACACGTGCATATATTATAGCATCGACTTGACTCCAAAAGTAAAACAAAATTCATCAATAGGGAATTTTCTATCTCTACAAAAATTTTGGAAATTAGATATCATCGACATCGTTAAATTTTTCAAACTATTACTCAGAACATACCAGCAAGACGTAATCAATTCCCCAAAACAGAAAATTAAAACTCATTTTTAGAATGAAAATTAAGCATCGGTCAAACGATGTTGGTGACCTACATGCATTTATAATGAGTGTACACGTATTAATTGAGCATCAACTTGACACCAAAAATTAAAACAAAATTCATTACTCTGTGAACTATATATAGCATATATAGTATACTAAAATATATCATACTGTATTCGCATACTAATCTTAATTGCTCTCTCTATCACCACACGAAAAACACCATAAGCCTAAAAATTCCTAATTCATACCTATACCGGTATTCGGCTGCCAACATTTCTATCCCAGTGTAATGCTTCCAATCGCCAAGACACCAAGGACGTACCCCGTCCTCATACATAAGACCATCGAGTCGATGGAGGCAATCGTTCCGCATATTAAACCAGGAATACGCTCGAGACTACGTAGCCATCTTGGTTCCATAAAAAGCAAACGAGCTCTCGTTCCTTCCTCGCGTCGTTCGAGATCGAATTCATTAGAATGTTTAGCCGGTCGCCGGTATAAGTTGGCGATACGTCGTCGAGAGCGAAGGTCCCAACCTCCCGGACCAGAAGATGGCAGAGATTTCTATCAAAAGAGGTTATTCGGTTATCAAAAGAGGTTATCAAAAAAGTTTATTCAAAAGACTCCCACTCACGGTCGAGTTGCACGCAGAAGCTGGTAGGATCCGGTGGTCGGGTCGAGTGTTGTGCGAGTTACCAGATAGAATCCCGATAAACAGTCAGCAGACGAGAAGCGTCGGTTACCTGTGGTCCTTTGCAACGAGAGGCGGCTGTTAAAGCGATCGGCGAAGTGCGTTAAGGGAAAAAAGTGCTAGATCCCATAGATCCCGTTTCGCTCGTTCATAGTCTTCTCC